TATTAAAGATATTCGGGAGCGCCTTTCAGAGTGCAGAGCGATCCGACGGCAGCAGCAGCAGCAGCAGCAGCGGCCGCAACACCAGCAGCAGCGGCAGCAGCAGTGGTAGCAGGAAGAGCAGCAGCTGCAGCATCTGACAATGGCGATCACGCACGAGGCGTCCCGGGGCACGAGAGTGCCTGTGCTGCTGCTGCCTCGGCAGCAGCAGCAGCAGCCTGCGAGCTGCAGCAGCAGCCCGGGCGGAAGCTGCAACTGCAGCTGCAGCAGCTGCTGCCGGCGCAGCAGCAGCAGCAGCAGCAACATAAGCAACTTGACGCTGCGGGAGGTCTACAGCCGCTTTGCTGCTGCAGCGCTGGTCAACACGACCCTAAACGGCGCTGCTGCTGCTGTGTCTGCGCTGCTGCTGCTGCGGCGCAGGGGCCCCCGGCTGCTGTCCATAGGGCTGGGTGTGGGGGCCCCCCTGGGCTGGTCTTTAAGAGAAGCAGATTTGTACCTGAGGGACCCCAGCAGCAGCAGCAGCAGCAACTTGCTGCCGCCCACTGCTGACCCCCTGCTGCTGCTGCAGCAGAAGCAGCAGCGCCTGCAGCACCTCATTCGCTACACCACCGACTCCCCCTACCTCAAGCAGCTAAGGAAAAGAATATTTCCTTCAGAATAAGAGGCCCAGGGGGCCCCCAAAGGGCCCTGGGGGGCCCCCTGGGGGGCCCCCTGGGGGGTCCCCTGGGTGGCCCCCTGGGGGCCCCCCTGGGGGGCTCCCAGGGGCCCCTAGGGGGCCCCCAAGGGGCGCTGTGGGGGCCTCCTGAGGGCCGCTGAAGCCACCGTCGGGGCCCTTTTAATACGGTTTCCTGGGGGGCCACAAAGGGGCCCCCAGGGGCCCCCAGGGGGGCCCCTAAGGGGCGCTGTGGGGGCCCCTTAGGGGACCCCTGAAGCCGCAGTGGAGGCCCTTTTGGTGCGGCTTCCGGGGGGCCCCAAGGGGCCCCCCAAGTACCTGGGTATTTCATCCTGCTGCTGGTCCAGCAGCAGGCTTCCTAGCCAGTTGGGGCCCCCCTTGGGGGCCCCCCGGGGAGACGGGGGCCCCACCGGGGCCCCCAACGCGAGACTGTACCCTGCGCTGTAGGGGGCCCCCAAATGGGCGGCGCCGGGGGCCCCGTGGGGGGCCCCCCGTGCCTTTTGCTGTCTTATTTCTTTGAGGGGGGGCCCCATCTAGGGGGCCCCCGAGTTAGAGACTTGAGGCTTCAGGAATGGGTACTAGGGGGCCCCTAGGGGACTGTCTTTGCTTTGATTGCTTAGCCAGGGGGCCCCCAGTGGGCACTGGGGGCCCCCCTGCTGCCAGCAGCAGCTAGCTAGAGTAACACAGAAAGAAATATTGGGGCCCCTAGGCTCTAGAGCCAGACACGCTGCGGCCAGCAGCAGCAGCAGCAGCAGCAGTAGCAGCAGACCCACACACACCTTGCTCCCCCGGAGGCCCGTGGGCCCCCATTGTCTACTAAATAAAAGCCTAGTCTCAACAGAATCGATCCCTGTCCCGGATATAAGGGGGCCCCCTGGGGCCCCGGGGGGCCCCAACCAGGGGGGCCCCATGGGGCCCCCCGTTGGTTCCCACAAAGGGTCTCCAGGGGCCCCTGTGGGGCCCCAATAAAGACCCCTTGGGGCCCCCATGGGACCCCAAGAGAGTCCTCTAGGGGCCCCCATGGGTTCCCATGAAGGGCCCCTGGGGGCCCCCCGGGGCCCCCAGGGGACCCAACAAAGGGGCCCCCTGGGGCCCTGTGGGGCTCCGGGGGCTGTTCTGGGGGGCCCCCCTACCCTCTGTTGAGCTGAAGGGGCCCCTCTTTGAGGCAACAAGGGGGCCCTGCTGCCTGTGCCTGCAGGGCACTGTGCAGCCTGGGGCCCCCCAACTGTGGGGCCCCCTTATTGAGGGGACCCCCTTATTGGGGGGCCCCCCTTACTGTGGGGCCCCCTCCTCTTCGGGGCCCCTGGGGCCCCGGCTTTGGGGCCCCCTGCCGCCGCCCCTGCGGGACTGCCGGCCCCCGGGGGGCCCCCGCCGCGGGGACCCTGCCCTGTACCCTCCATCCCTGCAGCAGCAGCAGCAGCAGCA